GGAATAAATGATAGAGAAAAGAAGAATGTTAATATCAAAACTTCGAGCTATTAAAACATCCAGGTCAGACCATGTAATTTGAAGTAAGTATACAGACAGTACTAATATAATTTCTCTTACTTATGTTTTAAGAATTTTGAATGTTTTTTTCCGGTCTCATGTCATCATAATTTATGTTCTCCTCTGTTCTCACTCAGCCCCTGTTCTTATTATTGAGAAATAGTCTTGTTGGTTGTATTTAAATAGTTCTTGGAGGAATCAATGGTGGCTCTAAGTTCTCTCAGAACATGAACAGGAGAGCTTCTTTAGCATCATCGGCAGACGATGTTTGATTTTTGTTTGAGATGAAAGTTGAAGTATTGTTTACTAAATAGCAGCGCGCGCGCACACACACACACACACACACACACGAGGATCATTTTCCCACAATGATTCAATTCAATTTAAGAGATTAAAAAAGAAAAGCAGATCCCAGAAAGAACTTAGCCCTTAGCCAGTGTAGCACAGGCCAGGAGGAAAAAGGAGCAGTCACCTCTGGTAGAGATAATGAACTCTGGGAAGAGTACTCAGCCGTAGCATCTGCTTATTACACAGCAAACAGAGACTCGAGGCATTGCTTACGGAATGGTGAAGGCGACACAGAAATGGCTGACCGTTAGTCTCCAGGCTTGCTAGTAACAAACTGGTGCTCACTCCACCCAACACAATAAATGCAAAAGATAACCAAACTAGAAATGCATAGAGATCAATTCAGTGATAGCACCACCTCCTATTTTCAAACTTTCCATGCTGCAGACTTTCATATAAAACTAATTCTCCTTCCTAACAAAAGGGAAACCTCAGACAAACAATTTGATTTCCAGCAGATACGTTGGCAGTCTTTGCAGACGTGACCTGAGAGATGGCCATTAAGACTCATTGCGTTTCTTAATGTCCATTTGGCTCTATCATAAATTGAGAGCCTGACATTATGAGAATATAGAGTTAATACTATCCAGCGCACATCTGGGTCCATCTTTCTTTAGGATTTCTGCCAATACATAGAAGAGACCTATTTGGAATTTGAGACTATATCCAGAGATTTATTCAAAAAGCTATACTCTTCCTAAATTCATACTGTTTTTTACCAACAGATGTAAATTTGAAGGAAAATACCATATACGTTAAGCCTTTTGGGAATAGCCGGCCTCTCAAGGATGACTCACAATTTTCCTGCGGATAGCAGAGATGCTGAACTGCAACTCTAAGCTCATCTGTGCTCTAGTCCGAATCATTCCTTCTGTGAACTCCGCAGGCGTTTTATGACAAACGTACACACGTGTATGAGGCATGTGACCTTGTTGGCAGTTATCTGCTGTGTCAAGGGCTATTGGCAGATGCCCAAGAATTGATTGACACATATCTTACAGAGCTGGAGTTAATTAATATGTCTACCAATTCCCAAATGTACCACAGGAAACAGAAAATCTGTTTAATACAGCAATCAATGACATACTGCGTGTGGTCAGAAGGCATTCACCAGACAGAAAAGCTAGGATTTTGGAAGACACTATTTAAGAGCTACCAAAATGCAAAAAAAAAAAAAATCTATTTTCACAACTACAAGGCTAAACTTGATGGTATTTTGGAAATTGTTTTATCATTAGAAATAGCAAGTGATAATTTTCTCCTATAAAGGTCAAAGCTCTTAAATGATGAACGGAGTCTTGCATTTTTTCAAAAGCAGAGTTGTAACTTCTGTGGCATTCTGCCATAAAGATGTTCAATCCGTATGCAGCTTTCTAATGGTGAAGCTTCTAAGAGCTTGGGAACTAAGAATAAGGCAGTAGTTACTTTAAGGGAGGAGCATTGCAGAGCAGAAGTTGAATATGGCAGTGTTGCTGATAGTCTTTCCAAATGCTAAAAGTGAAGACGCTTTTTGTAGTCTACAAACACTGTATAAAATCATTATAATAAAATTATGTTTCTTTTTTTTAATGTGGAACAGTTATCAGGAAAATAAGCATGTAATTTCCAGCCTAAAATTTAAGAGGAAAATCTTTGTAACTGAAGAAAAGGAGGATATGAACTTGAAAGAGAGCAGTGGGGTGGGGTGGAGCATTTGGGTTTGGGGACAGGAAGGGGAAGGGACAGAAGATGTAATTATATTATTATACTGGAGAACATAAATGTTATTTAAAAGGATTTCTGAGGATGGGATTTTCAGACTCCACGAGTGTGTGAATCCCAATCCAGCATTCCCAGCGTCTCTCCTGGTGACTTTATTCCCCCGCCTCTTCCAGGCTTTCCATTAGTGTCATTCTTTTCTAACAGAATAAAGTGCACATTGTCTCTCTTTCTTGGCTTCATAAACAGCAAAATTGGTTAAAGCCAAGGATAGCATTTTAAGTAATAGTATAGATCAATTTAAAGCAGATTGTCTCCGAAGGCAGCTTAAGCATTGAAAATTAAATTTGATGTAGTCTAGACAAGCCCTCGTGATAATATCTTTTCCAGAATTTCCTAGATTGCCTGTCTAGACTGCTCCAAATTCCCCAGGTAATTGCATAATCATCTTCCTTCTGACCTCCTACTCTGGAATGGTATTTCATAATTTATACTTCTCATGCAAATCAAAATCACCAAGCTTCTTAAGGTAGACCTGTCTCAGAGCTCTGAGTTTCTCAGGAAAAAGAAAAAAAAAACTTGCACCTCAATATGTCATCTCAAAGAAGCTCACATAGGAAGCCAGGCATATTTATTATTTCAGTGGAGGGGAGCCTGAGCAAATGGCCTGTAGCCCTTCACCCCCCTAGCAGCCCACCCAAAGAGCGGCAAGGCATAGTTGACTTGAAATATAATACATTATTAACAACACAAAGCAGCAATTATAGAAGGGGAAGGGACCATCACCATGAAAAATGACAACAATTCATAGATGATGTATAGAATTTTAGCATAAACAGATACCAAAGTAGCGAAAGTCTCAGAAAGATGCAGGATTTAAGATAAATGCAGAGACATCTAGTAAGGATAGCCTAGTGACATTATTTATAATCTCTGATGTAAGAAGTTAATGAGAGGGAAGCTGACAATTACTAATCAGACTAACAGGACAGGCTTTCAATACGAGATGGATTTGCACTTTCTAGTATTAGACATTCTTTTTCTAGCAATGACTAGCTATCAGATCTTACATATCTTCCTTCCAATTGTCTACATTAGAAACATAGACTCAGTAAAAGAAGCAATTGGTTCAACATGAGGCAGCTAAAGCTGAGGAAAGGATGGTGAAAACCCAGGAATCTGAAGCCAGAAGAAGGGTATGCTTCAAAACGACAGACGCTTTGAGTTTGGGTAGCCCTACATGTGAAGGGAGTGGAAGGCAGTTTGAGGTAACGAGTCAACCTAATACGTGGATGCCTAGGCAAAGACAGTTTTATTTTGTTTTCCTTATTGTGAGCAGAGACTCTGAGATGTTATGTAGCTTTTCCAGAGCTTCCCAGCTAGTGAACATGCACTCTGAAGCCTGTTGTGATACCAGAATCAACGCTTTCCTGATCCTCCGTGGTAGGAGAGTCCAGAACGCGCTACTGTACTCTTGTGCGCAGCTCTTTGGAAGCATTCTGATGCCAGGTACAGAATGTGCAATACAGTGGATGCAGCTTTTAGGGTCCCTTATTGGCATCAGCACTTTACCATCTGGGATGGCAGCGTGGGGACAGTTATTTAATGAGGAGCAACTAAAAGCACTGTGTGTTATCTACAGTATCGTGTGGGAACTGAGTCTTAATTTCCTCGATGTGAGTCCGGGAACTTAAAGGGAACCCCTTTTCCTAAAAACCACGTCATGCTGAAAGATCTTGTCGACGTCAGCAAACATTACATACATACTTGTGAGGAAGAGGAGAAGGAGGACTACAAGGGTAGGTGGGTGTAGGCATACAGTGTACGTCTGTGGATGTGTTCCCGGGAAAGTATCGTGACTTTCCAGTCTCATCAGGGACGTCACAGCGGAACTACGACACGGAGCTGGTTTTAGCACTGGAAACCCAGCCCGTGATGTGGCATCTTGTACGGAGGAGATAAAGCATGAAATGTTTCGCTTTCTTGTCTGTGGAATAAAAACAACACGTTCCTCTCCCATAGGACACCTTAAGGAAATGCAGCAGGAGCTTCGAGCTTAAGACATAAGGGGCTGCATGTGAATTCGGTCGTTATCTTTAGGATTCCAGAAATACTCTGTGAAGAAATTCTTTATTTGTCAACAAATGCTCAAGCATTTCTAAATTTCATTTGGAAGAAAATTCTGCCACAGATCACTTTCTCACCACGGGAATACTGTTGTTCTTGAGAATCTGGTGCCAAGAAAGACAACAGTGTATCTAATTGAGACAACCAAGAAGCCCAACTCAACACACTCCTTTCAATATTGGTAAGGGCCCCTCCTTTTAAATTTAGATGTAAATTTATTGAGCTATAATCCTCTCACTAAAATTTCTTTGTACAACATCTTTAGTAGGACAAAATGTATCTTTCTCTTTTTCATGCCAATGTAATAACCAAAATATAAAAGCAACGTAACAAAGCAAGAGCCCAAATGTGAGATTCCATCCTTGAACTCATGGATAGAAAGTATCCTTTCTAATCCTGAGGCAAGAAAAACAACAACAACAACAACAACAAAACAGTGGGAGACTAAACCTTTGACCTTTGATGGAAAAGGATATGGAGGAGAATGGTAGCAATGAATGAAGAAGGAAGGAGTTTACATTCTCACCTCACATACAAAGAAGAAGATCTGAAAACCAGCGTGAGAGCAAATGCTTTCCTTTTTGCTCCTGTTGCATAGCTATTGTTGGGTGAGGGTCTCTTTGTTTTATATTCACAAACTAAAATTAATCGCAGCATCGGAATTTGAAGTAGGTCCCATGAATAGTGAACAAGAAGCAAAATGAACTGCAGAAATTAGCCATGAAGCATTTGGGCAGGAATGAAAAGCGTTTTTTCATAAGTCATACCTCAGGATGATGTCCAACTTCTATATAGGTGCAAATTGGATGAAAGGCCCCAGTTCCGCAGGCATACAAGTGAGTGTGATTATAAGCCTTCAGGACCTTGATGAAATTAGCACATTCTTTCTGTAAAACAAAAGGCAAACCAGTTAGTTCTAGCCATCCCCCCTGACAGGAATGCAAGATACTGGACAAGCTGTGGCAGATTTCATATGCATCTTTCCCCAGCTTTTTAGGGCTCATTTTTTATTTTATTATTTTGTTCACAGCATTACATGTCTTAATATAAAACATTCTTAAACTTTGAGGAAACATTATATAACATACTGTGTTGGCTAGTTTTATATCGGCTTGTCACAAACTATAGCTATCTGAGAAGAGGGAACCCCAGTTAAGAAAATAGTTCTTTAAGATTGGTATGTAAGCTAGCCCATAATGAAGTTTTTAAATTATTAATTGATGTGGGAGGTACCAATAGTGGGTGGTACCATCCCTGGACTAGTGGGCCCGAGTTCTGCAAGAAAGCAGGTTGAGCAAGCCATGGGGCGCCAGCCTGTAAGTGATACGCTTCTATGGCCTCTGTATCAGCTCCTGCTTCCAGGATCCTGTCCTGTGTGAGCTCCTGTCCTGCCTTCTTCAATGACAAACTCTGATGTGAAGTGTAAGTCACACAGAATTTTTCTTCTCCAAGTTGCTTAAAACATGTTCCATCATAGCAGTGATAACCCTAAGACATATACCCCCCGTAACTCTTCCATTAAAACTATTCCACCTAACGGATTAAAAAGTTTTGGGTTGCCAATCTCATAGATGCCTTTTCCCACCGATACGATGGCAGCAAATTCTCGTGATAACAAATTACTCAAATGAGGTGCTGGTGAGATTCTCCATGCAAAAGCGAACTTTGAGTTGAAATTTAGAAAAGGAGAAAAAAATACAAGATAATAGGAATTAAACCACCATTCGTGATCTAATCTGGTTTCTTTCTAGTGAGTATGCATTCATATGCTCCATAATAAAAACACATTGGAAGAGTTTTTCCAGGTTGCTCATAGTTTTCTGAGTCATTTTGCAGTTGAATATTTGAAAGTCAGCCCTACAGCTAAAACCAGGAATGCAGATAAACTCTCCAAGCAGACTACTGTGTAAATGAGGTTGGTTCACACAATGGAGAAGCAGGTTGATTCTTATGTTCCTAAGTGTGGTTTGCCCTCAAAGCTTTCAGGTGACCCGTGACTTCTCAGGTGTGAACTCAGAATGCTTCTGGACGTATGCAGTCAGCTAGAGTTTATAACTGGGGTGCTAGAACAGTCTGAGTACATTTCCACATGGATTTGCATGCCGTACCTGCTGCTGAGGATTGCCGCCTTAACTCCGTTGGCCCATAAAATCAGGAGCAGGCAACTTCAGCAAAATAATTGACATCTAAATTCAGGAAAGTGCCTGCTGTTATTCTGATTGTACTAAGGCGCAGCTGGATGCTGTCCTTTGAATGATACTTCTCTAAAGGTGAATTAGACTTATCTGAAACAAAATATGAGCTTCAGATATGAGTTCTCATGCTCTCTTAACAGGAATGTGTAATTTGGGGAGGTAAGAACTACAGCAAAAACACAATTTCCTTGTTTTGTTAAATTGATCCAAAATGTATCTCTTTTTTTTTTCTTTTTCCAGACAAGACATAAAATTATGCTTTGAAATCAACTAACTTTGCAAATCTCCCTGCTCCGAGGGAGAATTTCCTAGCATACAGGGTATGTGCATCCCCTTCCTTGCTCACTTGGAGCAGGCTACCTCCTGCTCAGAAGACAAAGCTTGGTTCCCCCCCCCCCCCTCGCTGCTCTGAAGCTGGATCCTCATTCTATAACAGGTCCTCCTCCTTCCCCTACAGGACAAACCATGAAGGTGTTTGGAGAAAGGAAACATCTGATAAATTCATTTACAAATGAAGTATTCAAGGATTTGCCCACAGGATATATTTGTACTGCTCAAAAAAAAAAAATCAGTCATTTTCAAAGAAGCCATTTTTAGAATATTTTTTGCTTTGAAATATGTAGGTGGCCACGTATTCTGCTTTTACAGAGACAGTCATCGCTCACTGTGGGCTCAATATTGTCATATTCAAGATGATAAATAATGAGTTCTGGCACCATATGTCAAAATCAAGATATCGGCTGTGCTGTGCATGCACGGGTAAGCAAATGGATATTCCAGGAAGTCCTAGTGGCAGACCCAGATGGATTCCTTGCTCATGTCAGAGAGTCCAGGACTTCAGTTGGCCAGTGGGAACTCACATGCCATTTGCGTATAAGACTAACTTTTCCATCTCTGTGATTCACATCTAATACCTACTAACAATTTAAAATAGACCATGATTCTCTGTGGTATAAAACAAAACATAATTATGAGTACAAATACTTGTAAACACAAAGGAAGGGTCATGTTACCCTTGCTACTGTTATGAATTTTAATACCACAGCTTTTGTGAGTTCATTATTTCTTATAGATTAGATAACCGGTTAGCAATTTACTGGCAACTAAGCCTGTCTTTCCAAAGAAACTAGAGGGTTACAATTAGCACAAGAAAAACTCCCCAAGCCCTTGAAAGCCACAAAATTGGACCACATTGAATATCAAATTCTCAATTTGTTCTCTATTAGCTGTTAAATAGGGAACCACTATGCTATGACATCTATTCTCCTGCAAAGCTGCTGGAACGAAATCAATCAAGGTATTGTAGCTGGGAAATCTGGCAAAGGGGCCGACTGAGTGCGCTGATAACAAGTGAGTCTATCTGAGCTGCAGAAAATGGAGCCCCACCCTGTTGGCCCAAGGCCTAGAATGATTTCCTTAATTTCCCCCACTGAACTCTCTCAGTTGGCAGCCAGTCGCACAGTTCGCCATGCCCCGGGGCTATCTCAGTATTACTTTCAAAGTAAAGGTTGATGCAAAATGAGTTTGGAGCAATTTCGAGGACTTAGAGGGTAAAAAGATGGTTGTGGGAACACAAAAGAATGGAAGGAAATACATCAGAGATTGGTTCGAAAATAGCCGAAGGAAGAATCCTCAGCAATCATGCCAGAGGGACACAGACAGAAAGAACCGAACCTAGAGGAACCAAGCACTTGAAAGACGTGCCAGAAAGGATCTGTTCTTACGAGAACGTCTACATGAAAGCCTATCAATACTGTCATTCATTTGCCTTCCTTTTCTAGTGTGTGGCTGCCAAGGTTGGTGAGTGTTCTGAACAGGATATCCATTTTATTTCGAGGCCGCCTGGACATTCCTCTAAACTAGGAGGAAGCGTGGCAGCGAAAGGAAACACACTTCACACGTTGCTGCTCTGAGGGAGACAGAAGAGGAGTGTTTCTGACCTTTCCTTGAACCATGACGTTTCTCAAAATTCAGAATGTAATGTACTTTTTGGCATTAAACTCCTGCACTGCCTTGCTCCACACTGGAGGATTTACAGCGCAATAAAGACAGTGCGGTCAGCTCAAAATGAATTCATTTTTCAAGCCTTGATCCTTTTGGAACTTAAGTTGATATACTCAGATGAATTTGGTACGAAGCTGATGTCCTGAAAGTCAGTCAATCACGGAGCCCTACAGATCAACAGCACCCCAAAATCATTAGTTGAGAAGCAAGAACAGTTATAATCCAATAATATCCGAACCCACACCTGAGGGACCCAGATAAATCATCCTCTCATGACACGCTGTTTGAATTTGAGTTTTCGGGGGTTTCTAGCCTTTCTGGATCACATGAATAGAAGAGTTATGCATAAAAATATTATCCCAAAGAAAAAATGTAAAGAAAATATCTCTCCTTGAAAAAGATAAAGGAGCTGAAAGCAGAATGAATCGAAAACAAACATCACAGATACAGATACAGAGCACTGATTAGACAGCGCTGCAGACTTTTCCTGGACCGTTACAAAAATAAAGCCCTCCATCTGTCAAAACAACTGCTCCATGCATGAAAATCAGAACGGAGCTGAGGTGTTTTTAACTAACTTCCGATCATTACACTTTCTACAAGAGAATATAATTTACCTACAATTCCAATTACCTCCTTCCCCGTTCTTAAATTATGGATGAAATAGTAAAAATTTAATCTAAATAAAGAAACTGCTAAAAAAAAAAGGGGGGGGATGAGAATGTGAACATGAGCAATCTCTATTCAAATATATTCAGTTCGTGATTAAATCAAGCAAACTTTGTTCTGGTTCAAATATAAATCAGCCCCAAATGAATGGGTATAGAGTAGCACTGCCTCAGGTCAATGACAGTTCCTTCTAAAGGAAGAAATCAATAGTCCTCATGTCATCAGCCGTTTCTATGGAATTATTTTCCTGTATAGCCCAGCAGCTGGGAAAGCAAAGGAATCTGTCTATCGGGATGGGTGGATACACTCTGCAGGAAAACCCGTTAATAAGCTTAATTCCTGAACTTAATCTGCTGACTCCCTTCTCTCTGGTCCAGTTCTTTGGCAAGCTGGCTGAACACCCTGCTGCATGCCAAAGCAGTAATCCGTGAGATTGTTCCTGTCACTCACTCTATCCCTCATTCTATTCAAGTTGTCCCACACTTATCTGGAAGCCAGGCCTGCCTTTCTCCCTTCTTAAACGGCGCTGTTGCAGCTGGGACCTGATCATCCTCAATCATGTCTTCCTAATGCTTCCCATCCACGACCAGGATGTCGGAATTCTCTTCTTCAAAGGGACGTAGCTCATAAAACGGATACACTGTGTGTTTACATTTTCGTATTGCCTATCTAAGGTTGAATTTGTGACCTCAGACATACTTGCCCTTACCGTAGCAGAATTCATCATGCAGAGCAGAGATCCAGACTGTCTGTACAGTACAGGCAGAAGAAGAGGTAGAAGCAGAGAAGCCTTTCTAGGACTGTCTCATGTCTTTGGTACACACCTCCCTTCTTGCATCAACATTGTTGTATATTAAAAGTTAGGTTCTGTTTTGGTTGGAGCCAAAATACTAGAGGCTATTATATAATTATAAAATGTTTACACATATCTCTTAGTAAACAAAGAGCCTCTAATAAGTGTGTGAAACACAATAAAGGCAGGATGTATCACACTTCTCCTGGTCCAGGTAGACAGTCCA